ACAACAACAACAACAACAACAACAACAACAACAGCAACGATAAGAACAACAACAACAACAACAATAACAGCAACGATAAGAACAACAACAATAACAACAACAATAACAGCAACGATAAGAACAGCAATAACAACAACAGTAGTACGAAATATAGTAGTAGCAACAATATCGAATGCAATATCAATGCTTACTTATCATTGTTAAAATTATGAAAATAATTAATGTCCAAAATAATACTTATGAACGAATCAATCGATATTGCCATTGTTTAATATTACTTTCTTCGCCTAATTTTTGTATTGAAACTTTTTGTTCCAGCAGAAAGTTTCAATACAAAAATTTTCGACATTTCATCAAAAAAGTTTTATAAAATCTAAATTATTGATAAGTGCTTTTGTAACTCAAGAATTTGTTGATATTCGATTAGATAATGTCTAATGATGTTAGCTGCTAAACAATATTTAGAATCCCACGAAAAAATTTGAAAATCTCGCGATAAAATTTCACTTTTGTGTTTTTTAACTTTAAAGGCAGCATATATCAAAATATTGTTTCACATTTTTAATAAAAATATTTTTATTCAATTTTAATATCATTCAATTAAGATCCAAAACGTTAAGTTATTTTTAACGCTACTAGACTAAATAGCACGTTTATGGAATTAATTTAAAATAATTTCAGAAAGTTACACTCATAAATTATGAAGAAATACTGTTTCAATTTGCAAATTTTCACTTATTACAGAATATTTTATAATGGATGAAATAAAAGGGAAACCCTCTTTTATTTGTTGCCAAATGGTGGTGATGGCTTTTAATTAGCGTATATTTAAAAAAATGAAATATTTTTATTTAAATATTCCTTTTCAAATGTATGTACGAGTGGAAAATGAAACAACAATCATTTATCATTTTCAATTTATCTCTTTGCGTATCCATAATTAGCACATTGAAAGGTCAAATTTGAGTCATTTGAACTTGATTACTCTTTAAAATATTGTATTATTAAGTATATGATTTTTATAAGCGTGGTTTATTGAAGAAAACTGAATGGATGATACGGTAAATTTTTTTTCGATCCAAGAAGTGAAATTTAAGGCAAACTTTTTTTTGAAAATTTCAATTTTTATTGATTACTTTTTATATTACTCTATTATTAAGTATATGATTTCTGCAGGAGTGATTTTATTAAAGAAAATTGAATGAATGACAGGATAAAAAAAAAATAAAATAAAATGTGGAAGTCTGTTGAAAATTTCAAAATTTTTATTTTGAAAAAAAATTGCAAAACTTGTTTGTTTGTTTGATGTTGCTTATTCTAAAAAACGAATAAAAAATTGTAAATTTAATCGAACTGTCATAAAGCCGTGTGCAAGAGAAAAAAAAAAGGCAAAAAGAAAGGACTGAAATAATTAAAGAAGCAAAATTTTTTTCATTTAAAAATGACAAAATTTTAAGCAAAGCTTCTGACAGTGTAAAAGTACAGTGATCGACAATAAAAACTATGCCTAAACATTTTCAAACATTAATTGGCAAATATTTTAGATCAAAGTATCAATTATTTAATATTTTTAAAATTGATCATGAAACAGCAGAAAATTTGCAGCAAACAACGTTGGTAATTAGATGTAATTCAATTTAAAATCAAATTAAAAATTTACATTAAAATTTTTATAAATTGCTTATATTTCATATTCCATTAAACAAAACAATGCATCCATGGATTGATTATGGATGTAAAATAGTTTTAATCAAATATACTACAATAATTTATGAGATGAAAAAACTGGAAAATGATAAGTGAGTGAATATGTCCCTTTTCTGTAAAATTTTGAAAGAAAAAGTGAAAAAAAAATTGACGTATTATTAAAGTAAAATAGATGAAAGGAAGAATTTTTTGTAGAAATAATTTTTTAAACTTTAAAATTTTATTTTGGTATTCAAATTTTTCAACAGTAAATGGGCAAAAAAAAAAGGGTAAGGTTAGTGAATGGATAAGCGGATAAATTAGAATTGAAGAACAGGTGACAATTGTATTAGTTTGATTAGCTGAAATAAAATCAAAAATGACTTTTTTCTTGCTTAAAAATTACAATCTAACAAATAAATGCTTGTATAATATCATTGAAAATGCTACACTGAAATGGCGCATTTAATAAGAATTCATTTGCTCAATTAATTTTTTTTAGAAAATTATTTGTGATTACATTTATTTATATTCAAGCTTTTGTTTCATTTTTAAACTCTTCACAATTAATAATATATGCATTTTATATATAAA